GTCACTACTCAGAGCTTTTTTTTTTTAAAGAATTTGAGAAATAGTCTTTGCTATCTAATAATGCCCAGTATGGCTCAAGGGAATCACTAAACAAATATTCTCTAAAACAGGTAGCAATGCTAGAATAAGATATGTATGCTAATATTATGGTAGCACTCCCTAAGGCGGGAGTGATTGATTACACCCGGGATAGTGGGGTTAAAATCTTTTAGCGGAGGTAACAGAATTTAAACTTGGCCTTCAAACAAAGAAGAGGAAGGCTTTTCAGGAAAGACAAGAGTCTCTGTAGAGGCTAGAGGCTTGAAGTGTATGAAGTCACATTGAACAGTTCAATGTGACTGATAAGAGATGGCACGGCAGATGGGGGAGAGCTGTGCGAAACTCACAGAATATATGAATTTGGGCTTTATCTTATGGGCATTGAGGAAACATGGAAGGGTTTAAAAAAATAAGTCAGGGCTTGGTCAGAACTAGAATTTGCAATTATAATTCAAATGGCAGTATGAAAGGTGGGTCACAGTGGAGAGGAAGGAGGCATAGAAACTACTGCTTTGCAGAAGACTTACGTAAAATAAAGGGCTGGCCTATGGTTTAGCTATGCAGAGAGAAAAGAAGGACATACTCAATTGGACAAGGATCAGTAGGATTTGTGAGTAGTTTTGTAATGACAAGGATAATCATGATCCTTTGGCTACTGAAGGGTTAGTAGCACAATTCACTGATTTAAAAAAAAGATACAGGAGGATGATCGGTGAGTTTTGACACAGTAACTTTGCAGTACCTAACTGAAAGTGTCCAGAAGACAGTTGACGAAGGGGTTGTGGATACAGATTAGTGATTATTTGTTTATCATTGAGAGTAGGTGAGATGGCATAGGAGAGTCTGTAAAATGAAGTTATTGCCAAAAACAGAATCCTGGACGAACACCTTTTGAGGGGCAGATAGAGAAAAGGAACAGTTTTGTTCTTGAATGGCATCTTTTGTAAAAAACCACATTTTTAAAAAGACTTTGTAGAGCGGTTTTAGATTCACAGCGAGCTTGAGAGGTAGGTGCAGAGATTTCCTATATAATCCCTGCCCCGCACATGCACAGCCTCCTCCACTATTTACTCTTTCTATTTTAAGTCTGTTTTATTGAGGTAAAATTTATACACAATAAAATGTAACCCTGTTAGGTGTATAGTTCTGTGAGCTTTAGTGAATATAAACTCATGTAACCACCACCACCACAATCAAGAGTATTTTCATGACTCCAAAAAATCACTTTGTGCCTTTTCAATCCTTTCTCCCTCCTTCCCAGCCCTTGGCAACTAATCGTCTGATTTCTCCCCCTGTAGTTCTGTCTTTTCCAGAATGCCATATAAATGGAATCATACAGTAAATAGGCTTTCGTGTCTGGCTCCTTATAATGATGCTTTTGAGATTCATCTTTGTTATTGCATGTATTAGTAATTCATTCCTTTTTATTGCTGAGTTGTACTCCATTGAATAAATATATGGCTGTTTGTTTATTCATTCACCAGTCAATGAATATTTATATTCAGTTTTTGGTGATTATGAATAATGCTGCTGTAAACATTTGCAAACAGGTCTTTGTGTAGACATATGTTTTTATTTTGGGGGGTAAATACCTTGGAGTGAGTCATATGGTAAATGTATATTTGACTTCATAAAACTTACAAAAAACTGTTCAAGTGACTATACTATTTTGATTCCCACTAGCAATATATGATGATTTTTCAGTTGCTGCAATCCTTGCCAGCCCTTGGTATTACCAGCGTTGTTCGTTTTTAATTTCAGCCATTCTTATAGATGTATAGAGGCATACTATTGTGGTTTCAGTTTCTCTCTGGCTCATGATAACTGAGTTTGTTCCGTATAGTTAGTTGCCATATGCATAACCTCTTTGGTGAAATGCCCCTCCCCCCTTTTAAAATTGGGTTGCTTGTTTTCTTATTATTGAGTTATGAGAGTTCTCTATATATTCTGTTTATAAATCCTTCATCAGATATATGATTTGCAAATATTCTCTCCAAGTCTCTGGCTTGTCTTCATTCTCTTAACAATGTCTTTTAAGCAGAAGTTTGTAGTTTTGATAAAGTCCATTTTATCAGATTTTTTCTTTTATGCATAACTTTTTGTGTCCTGAGAAACCTTTGTGTCCCAAGATCACAAAGATTTTTCTCCTGTTTTCTTACGTAAGTTTTATAGTTTTAGGATTTACATTTAGATTTGTGATCCATTTTGTGTTAATTTTTGTATATTATGCGAAGTATTGGTTGAAATTCATGGTTTTGCATATGTAGAGATGTCAAGTTAATCGTTTCAGCACCATTCATTTTCTTATCTTTCTCCTTTGAATCACTTTCCCAACTGTGTTGAAACCAGTTGGCCTTGTATGTGTGGGTCTATTTCTGGAGTGTTTTGTTACTCTGATCTGTGTGTCTGTCCTTTCACTAATACGACAGTGCCTTGATTGCTTTACCTGCAGTTACATTTATTTTTGAGATGATAGTGGCATCTGTTAGGAATGCTGTTGGCAGTAAGGAACAGAAAGCCCTACTAATCGTGGGTATGTTTTTGTGCTACAACAAGAAGTCTAGCGATAAGCAGTTGCTGGTTTGTTCAAGCTGTTCACCTGTACCCGAGGCCAACAAACTGCAGCCTGCGGGCTTAATCTGGTTTACCACTGTTTCGTTAGTCACCTGCAGAGTTTCTTGAAAATGCGTATGCCCAGGCTCTACCTCTGAGATTGATTTAGTTGTCAGGGTGGGAGGTGAAGGGACAGAGGGAAGAACAGGTGTTTGAGTTTTAACATGGCTCCTGCTAACACTGGTAACCGTCTTGTGTGGTCATGGTTCAGAACCAGTAATCCAAGGTTGATTCTTAGAGCCTGGTCTCCAGACCAGCAGCATCACCATCTCTTGGTACCTTTTTTAAAAATGCAATTATCAGGCCCACCCCGGACTTTGATTTGGAATTTGGTTAGAGCCCAGTAGTTTGTGTTTCAGCAAGTTCTCTAGGTGATTCTGATGCCAGTGTTTGAAACCTTGTAAGGCATTGCTGAATGTTTCCCACATTGGCCTAGGCAAGGTTGTCTTTTTAAAAACAAAAACCAAATAACTTGATTTAAGTATGTATATTATAATGTTACAGACAGTAATTTTGAAATTGCATTGAAGGTTCCCAAATGATCTAACGTGATAATTGTTGAGTACTGTATTGGACCGAAATATCCAAGGTATATGTTCAGTTGCTATTTTTAAGCAGCTTTAAAAATAAACATTTTTGTGTGCGTACATGTCTTTTTCCTAGCCTTTAAGGAAGAGTTAAGGACATAGAAGGCAGTTCTTGTATTTATAGACTTTATAAACAAGGGAAGAATACAAGATAAACACGTATAAACATGAAAGACAAACACAGAAACGTGTTTTTTTCCCAGGGTTAGGTATATTTTCGTGATTGGTGAATATGTTACAGTGTTGGCAGCCAATCCAACAGAAAACTTGAGTTTACTTATAATATGCCCTATATAACAAAGAACAAAACAGTACTTCATGGCATGTAAAATATGTCCTCTCCAATTTAGTTTGCTCTTTTAACGATAGCCTTCCCAGTTACAATTACTGATTGCTTAAACATGGAGTCTAATAATCTTTTCTCCATCTATTTTCAGGAGGCTGTGATATCTTGCATTATTCCTCTTTCCCCTTGGAAAACAGTGTAGGTTCAGTTAGGCTCTCTTTCGTTTACTCCAGGTGATACAGCATTTCATCTCTAGTTCTGAAAGAATAAGGTTAATTGGAACTAAGCTCTAGTTTTTTAAAATTTTTTGAAACAACTTCTGAAAAAAGGAATTTGATTGCACTTGCGGATGTGTAGGATCAGTCATAGAGAATTACTTGACTTGCTTATAGTCCCATTAGCAGTAACTGTAAACCATAAAATGAAGTTCACAGAAACGTGTCATTGAAGCCAAGAGGCTGAACATGTATCTGGCCTTTATTTCCAAGGCTAGAGTGGCTGACGTGTTAGAATTTCCTTGGGAAAATGTCAGCAAAAAAGTCTTAAAACTTTCTCACTCAAAGGGACTTGCAGTCTGTAGAGTTATAAAAGATGTTTGAACGGCATT